TGGCCGCCGGGGAAGCTTCTCGGCGCTCTGCGCGCTCGCCTGCCAGCCCTGCCGTCGCAGGCCTGCGCTCGGAGCGCCTGGAGGCCCTGCCCGGGCCCAGGAGCATTGTGAGCTAGGACGGGACTGCTAGGAGACAGACGCAGAGACCGGCGTCGGAAAGAGAGGCCAGGCAGGAAGAGCGAACACCTCTAAGCCACCAGCCTGTCCGACCACACAGCTGCCACAAGCACAGCCTCCGACCACCGACAGTCGAGCTTTTTGATCCGCTCCCTCCCCAACCAAAAAAAGCTACGTGAGTAACCTATTTGGACCTTTCCCTCCCCCACCAAAGGCTCACTTTCCACCATTGTCCAAGCCTTCCAGCGGCTTCCATCAACTGACAGTTTAGTACATAGTTCCCGCTGAGAGGCATTTTATAAAAACATGCCATCACAACCCTTACAGGTCCGCAGGACACCCTAGACACAGAATTGTCCGTCACACTTGTACTTACTCCTCTACACATTGTATCCAATTGTTTACACCAGGCGACTATTTCAACTTCTTGTATTTGAGACGTCAAGCATATTAACTATTGGCTTCTGCAAGAGGAAGGCGTTTCTGCAGGTGTTCACTTCCATCCCCCACTTGCTGGTTAACCCTTGGGCTACATCTCCTGTCCCTTATTTTGAAAAATATGGGAGATTATCAGATGTTGCTCCTTGGTTTAAAAAAAAAAAATCAAAATAGGGATCTAGTTGAGAAAAAGAAAGGCAAAGCAGCCGTGAATTGCCCGGTGTTCCTCTCCTTCAGAGGAAGACCACTTGGTGGCAAACAGTAGAGAACAGGAATCCCTCTAGTGGTACCTGGGGTTTTTTGCTAGGAAAAAGGAAAGGGAGCTTTTAAGGCTTTTGTGCTGGGTTTAGTGGATGCCTGCAACCCCAGCATTTGGCAGACAGAGGCAGGAGAACCTCAATTTCAAAGCCAGTTTGAACACACACACACACACACACACACACACACACACACACACACACACACACACACATCCTCATATCCCTGAGCCCTGGGTTTTCACATAGCTTCTATTCAGTTGGCCCCAAATGTCCTTTTCTTGGTCATTTATTAGGCACTTCTGGTATACTGAATCTACAACACTCCAACAGATTAGGAAATAGTTTCCACTTTCTGAAATCCAAACCATCACACAAACAGCACTAACGTTTGCATGCGTACTGAATGTTTTATTTACTAGATTATAAAAATAAAATACAAAATAATTTTAAAACAGAACTTAAAACACTGTACAAAGCTTTAATATGGTACAAATGGGAAAATTAAATAAATAATTACACTTTTATGTACAGATGGCCTATACAAAAGCACTCCATGTTTTTCTTTCAATACTCTGCCCTTGGTTGCCTGAGCAAAAACACATCAAGGGAAGCTATGTGGAGGGAAAGGGATGCAGTGCAATACATTTAAAAGAACTTCAAAGAGCAATTTCTCATTAAGAGGAGGACAGTAAGACTGAATAAAGCAATCTAACTCATTTGTCTTGTTCAATACGAGAATTCAGGTTGTAACTAAATCTGACGACATTTGCCAATAATAGCTAATAAACTTACAACATTTATACCTAACACAAAAGCAGACATGCCTCCTTTGCTTGGAGTTTGTAAATAAATGGTCTGGTGAAATAGGTGCTATTTTAAGAAAGGTGTCAAAAGGGAAATGAGAACTCTAATTCAGGGAACAGCAGGTGGCTCAACCCTGGATCATCAGATCTGTTCTTTGTACTCAACCCATCCAATCCAATCTCATCTAAGTTTTTTGCTTTTTTTTTTTTTGGGGGGGGGGGAGACAGGGTCTCATGGAGCCCAAGCTGGCTTCAAACTCATTATGTAGCACATTAAGACCTTCAACTCCTGTTCTTGCCTTCACCTCCTAAATGCTGGGATTACAGACACAGACCACCAAGTCTAGGCAATCCAATCCAATTTCCAAGTCCTGAGTGGCCCTGTGCTACATTTCCTTTGTCCTAAAAGATGTAGTTCCTTTATTTTCTATATTTTAATTTCTGAAGTCTTTAACTTAGAGAACTAATTACACTAATTGATTAATAGTTCAATGAAACTATTTTAGCTAGGATTGGTAGTGGTGGTAGTGCACACCTTTAATCCCAGCATTCCAAGCAGCAGAGGCAGGCGGATCTCTGAGTTCAAGGCTAGCCTGGTCTACAAAGCTAGTTTCAGGACAGCCAGGGCTACACAAAGAAACCTTATCTTGAAAAACCAAACCAAAAAAAAAAAAAAAAAAAAAGTGGTTTTTGTCTCAAAGCTTTCTTCTCATCAAACTCCCTAAAATAAATCACAGCTAAACTCTGTAGCCTTGTTTACTGCTGTAGATGAGCAAGAAATACCTGGCATAGTTTGCTTGTTATACAAGTGAGTTTTTGAGATTTAAATCATGTTTTATAGGCGTTTTAAAAAGTATCATATGGCAAGGATAGTTTACATAAAAACTTGGTTTACTAACGTCTTTAGTTGAACAAACAATTGTGTGTACAATACAAAATAATTTTAAATTATAGAGAAATCTATCCACTGTTAGATCTGCCTCATCCTGTTGTTGGTCTAAAGTCTGGTTGAAGGTACCAGGAGGAGTGGTCAGCCACCTGTCTATAGTGTCGATACTATCACCCCCATGAGAGAAGGCAGAAACTTGTTACATTGTAAGGGCAATGGAAGGAATGCCACTTTACTTCTGCTACAGGTTTCCTTAAAACCAAGGACTGAGTGAAGGAGAGGAAAATAATCCCATTACCTTGAACATGCCTTGGCCAGCCTGGTTATTAGTCCTAGTGTGGGAGAGCAAACTACTGAAGTCGTTAATGAGTAAATCCTGGCCATTTAGCATCTTGAGATTGTGATGCAAATCCTCTGACAAGAAGAACTCAACTGAAAGCCAGATCCCCTCTAAGTGCATAGGGGTTCTTGTCCCATACTTGGGATTAGTTACCTAGGAACTATAGGGATTATCCTCTTCCTGCAGTTCTGGCAAGCAGTGTTGGGTAACAAGACTCTGAAGGCCCCCGAGATTGTGTTAAATTTCTGGAGAAATGGCCAAAATATGGCAAATACGCAATAATATGAGGAGTTTCCACTTTTCTTACGCATTCTCACAGTACACACTAGAGTTTTGTAAAGTTTTGGTGAGACAGGAAGTGGGGTGCATTAATAACCACTTGGTGCTTACCAAGCATCACAACTCCCATGCTGTCCAAGTTGTGGAACTGCCCAAGTTTCCTTCCATAAGAAGTTAAGGTCTTTAAGGACCACAGTGGCTTCTGAACTTGGGTATATGTTGGCATATAAGGACTACCAGAGTAGTTACATGCTGTAATCCTATGATGCATTTGGATTAAATCCTAAAGAGCTATTCTGCAAACACATTGCCTATAGAACCAAATTCAAGAAAGTTAAACCGTACAGTTGGTTGCAACTGCCCTATTACCTCAGTGAAAGAGGTGCTAAATGACCTCTCCCCAGAAACAGTATTCTAACACAAAACCAGAAATAGGCACATTTTTAAAAAGCGAATGTAAACAACTTAGTCCTTGCATAAATATGAAAGAAGAAATAATTTTAAGATGTGCCATATTGACAGATACGAAAGAATGAGAGGGAGTATACTCAACATACAATATATACATATATTTATGAAAACTTAAAAAATCATATGAAAAAGAACAGAGTTTCTGTTTTGTTTTTTTGAGAGGTTCTCACACTATAGCCCAGGGGGGCTTGAAGTCACTATGAAGCTGAGGTTGGCTTCAGATTCTCTTCCATCTTCGCACCTCATTCCCTCAAGTACTGGGTTAGAAACATGAGCCACCACACCTAGCTAACAAGTTTTTTAAATATGAAAAACTTTGATCTCCAAGGCTAAATCTAGATTATCTACAAATATATTTTAAGACAGCATTTTCAAGATGCATTTTTCCTTAAGCCACTAAATTGTGGATCCTGTTACCAATTCCTAATGTTAGATTAGAAATGTAAAATTTTCTGCCCTTGAAGAAAGGCACCTGTTGTCATCAAGGTTATTGGGTGTAGAAAATCTTATGACTTAGCTATCTGGTCTAGGTTTATAAAACATGCAGCAATGTATACCTTTTTCTTTGTACAATGGATGCACTCATAGAAACAGTAGCCTGGGAATCTGTGGCTGGGAGGAAATCTCTGGTGCCTGCTGAAGCCCCTCAAGTTCTCCCAGTGGCCAGGAATGAAACAGACAGAGGTACTGCACATGAAGAACAGCAAATCAGCACACAATGGTTTAGTATGCTAGAGCAAATAATGTCAAGTGGATAATGATGACAGGGGGCCTCTGACCACTTTGCTACTTTTTTTAAGGCCTTGATGAACTTGTTAGACAACTTTTACCAAAAGCATTCATTGCAAAGCATGCAACTAAAAAAACTAAAGGTAGCTGTGCTCCTGTCTGCAAGGCCAGCTTATGTACCAGGGTTGGAGATAAGTGCATGGCTGCTGACAGCGTCATTGGAAGGGGACTTACAACTCTAAATCTTAATGTTGAACTGGATATAATCCAATTTCCTCCTCTGTTCACTATCCATTAAAGTCAAATATCTTGAGTCTATGCAAGATTACTAGGTATGATTTTAATATTTCAAGCAATTCACAAAGTCTGAAGGTCAGTAGTATAATTTGGGAGCAACATTACCTAAAGCTATTGCTATGTCCATTTTTTGCTCCACTGAAATAATCCCAGGGACTAAACAAGGCAAAGGCGGGCATGAGTCAGTAGCCTGTGCAGATGGAAGCCAGGAGGTACTTGTTTTCCAAAAGATAACTTCAGTTTCATACTGCTTTTGTTATAGCTTAGGCCATATGTTCCTCACCTTAAGTAAAATAGCCAAACTGTTCATATTTATTTGGATGATCTGTGGCTAAAATCTGAAATATGCCATCAATAAAAACCATAAAATTAAGGAACTGAAAAAGTCAAACCAAAACAAAAGCTTGATTCTCTGGATCATATTCCTGATCCAAAAGTGTTACTTAAGGTTGCCAACTTCTATTTTTAACCTGAAAGAAATGTAACATCTAAAAGCACAAACTATGCTTTTTAATCTCTCTTGGGGGCGGGGGTTGTTGGAGACAGGGTTTCTTGTGTAGCCCTGGCTGTCCTGGAGCTCACTCTGTAGACCAGGCTGGAATCGAACTCAGAGATCCACATGCCTCTGCCTCCCCAAGTGCTGGGATTAAAGGCGTGCACCACTACCACCTGGTTCAGCTTTTTAATCTCTATATCAAGACAGCACTTAATAAATGGACCTAGTGATACATAAAATATAATTAGTCCATTTCCTTTTCTTCAGAGCAAAAACATCTTTGGTTGGCTCTTGTCCCTACATGCATAATAAAACATTTTCATGTAATGAGGCCATTTGTCTCTGGATTTTGATGAGATTGTTAATGACATGTAGAAAAGGAGGCAACACATGAAAAGGTTGGAGAAAACAAAGAAACCAAAACAGAAGACATCCTGTGTCATGCTGCCATTACCTTGGGTTTGACTGTTAGCAGAGAAATTCAGAAAGGAAAAGGCTGGGCTGTATTAGCTTTCCCAGTGGTTACTATTAGCACATTTCTGAGGAGAGAGGTCAATATTAAAGCTGGCTACTTTTAGCATCATTTAGCTTATGTAACAGAAGAAAGATAATTTCTTAATTATCCTACATCCTCACTGCCATTCAAAAGTGACATGAAATAGGCAACTTTCAGGAAATGTTTTAAAAATCAACTGGTGCCAGATCCATAATTATAATGCCCATCGATGTACTCTAACCATAACGACAGAACTATGGGGCTAACATGAGTAATCTTTGAGCCTGTATTACAAGCATATCCTGTTTAAAAATTCTCCTATTAAAATACTTTTTAAATGAAAATTAAGTATCTTATACCTTGGCTTGCTAATGACTGCCAACTGTTGCACTATGCACCTGGAAGGCAAGAAGAATCTTAGGTGTCACATGCCCAGAACATATTTTCAGAAAATGAAGATAGGCAATGCCCAAGTGTACACGAGGCACACACTAGAAAAGGAATTTCATCCTCTAGGATCTTGAAATTACAAATGCAGAATGAGAAAGAATGGATTTATATAAGCATATGCCTCTATATTTATAAATATTGATATCATTTACCATGAAAGACATGCAAGTTAAATTGCAGCAGCTGTTCTACAATATAATACACAGGGTCAGTTTCTAGTACCGCATCTCTAATGGACAAACAGTAGGTGTGCCTTTTCTGCTGCACTGCTCTGAAATGCTTGAACCTGGAAAGAAATGGATTCCACACTATGCTCCATTTCTCATGGGAGACCTATGTCTCAGTGTAGCGTCCCGATTTTGAGAATGCTCACATAGGAAACAGTGCAGCGTCAGGGCAGCTGGGGTGCAGCCCTGGAATATGCTCGCTTAGTGAAGAAATACATTTCCTTCTCCACCCACCCGACCTCAAATTCAACTGTTTTAGGTTTGGCAGCAACACAGGTCAAAGAGAAAGGAGATGTCTGTTAGAGGGCAGATTTCAACAGCAGGCAGATCAGTTTCCCTGACCTCAGTAAGGTTTTATCATACTAAACACTCACAGGGCGTCAAAGAGCCCATTTAAAATGTCTGGCATTCTTTAATTTGCCTGATTTTCACTAGAAAGAGAGTGAGAACAGAACAAATGTGATCATCCTTACAACTTTATAAACTGAGATTATGTGGAGATCAGGCTAAGAAGCCGAGGCATAAACCACACAAGAACCAAATGATAAAAACACTGAAAGAAAACTATTTAGCCTAAATTTATTCCCCCAGATATTCATTCCTTATTGGCTAAATGTATATGGCTAAATGTATAAAATACAAATTCTGAAGGTTATAAGCCTCGATAGCATACTTAATTTCTTTCTAAATCTGTGAAAGCATAAGCCACATTCCAAAGTCGTGTGCTTCCCCAGCACCATCTTGAAGGCTGACACTAGAGAGCGCAGGGAGGACATAAAGGAAGCTGTCTCCTCTGCTCAGTCTCCTCCACAGACGAAATGGAGTCAGGGACGAGACGAGGCGTGCTTCTACCTTTAAAGACTGTCCCACTCTCTGTCCCTCTCCAAACACACCTGCTCCAAACAGCTCTAGCTGGACATTTATTTCCTTTTTGAGATTAAAAATATATGAGTTTAAAAACTGTGGCTCAAAAGAAACTAACAAGGTTTGACTAAATAAGGGCTAGTGGATTTTAAAGTGTCAGTGTGTGCTACTGAAACCCTTACTAAGGTGCATTGTTAAAATAAGAGGTAAGAAATAGTAATTTTAAAAGTTGTCAAACCAAGGAAAGATACTCAGAATGAGTGGAAAGAAAGGTGTGGATTCATTAAATAAGCACACAAACCAAATATACCCAAGTACTAGTTTCCTGGCAACAGGCTTCTTATATATTTGAATGTCTGCACAATGACTCTCCAAGGTTAAGAAGTTGTAAATAAAAATATCAAACACTTTTGCTATACTCTTTGAGTAGAGGATTAACAAATTAGGCAAAAATCACTTAAAATCCCATTCTATTTCCTATCCTCAACTTTCTGTTTCGAAGGCAGCTACAAGTAAGAGCTCATTTAATGAGTTTCTTCTCCTTGGATTTTGATGAACTGAAGCATTTGATTCCTGATCCACTTCCTACCTGCCCTAGGTAATTCCTTAGTATATACTTATGTCTTCTTATAAATAACCGATCATGTTACTTTCTTTTTCAAGAGAAGATCAACACTGATTGTTTGAAACAGACAGTACAGAGACACACATGCATCAGGTCTAGGAGGAAGATCTCACACCTTTCCCAGAGATGCAGCCCGATTGCTTCCTATCTGCTGAGTTTACTGGCTGGCTTATTCTTCCCTGGGGGAGTTTTGGAGCTGGCTGAGTGGTGATGGAGGCTGCCAGATCCTTTGGGACCATTCTTGCTGGGTTTGCAATGCTCCTGTTGGCAGGACCTCCTGGATGACGACGATCCTGAGTGGCTGGGGGGTGACTTGCTTCTCCCCAGATGCGGGGACGAACTCCTCTGCTCATGGTGGGGCCGTCCAGCCCTAGACGGTGAGGAACTAGATGTTCGGGGCAAGGATGAGCTTCGAGGAGAGGCACTGGGACTCCTGCGAGGTACAACTGGACTCTTGGGTGGTGTTTTTGGATTGTGAGGAGATCCTGGGCTCTTGGACTGAGGAGTACTCCGGGGTTTCTGAGATCCATTTTGAAGAATTTGGGCCAGGCGAGAGAAAAGGTCTGAGTCAGAGTTACTACTCCCTAGAACTTTATACCTGCGTAGCCTTAAAAAAATAGAGAAGAATTAATTTTTTTTGGAGACAGGACATCAAAATTCATTATAAGTGTGCCTAAAAAAATCACAGTATCCTAAGTCATATTTATGAAGTATGTCAAAACCAGAAAATACACTAAATGGATACTGAGTTTCTCTTTCACATGTATGCTGTATGTGACACGGGACAGATTAACATCTGCTATGTCTCTTTTCCTTTTGATTAATGTTTGTTTCCGTTGGCAAGGTCTTCCTATGTAGCCCACACTGGTCAGTATGTAACCCAGGCCAAGCTGGCCTAAGCTTGACATTTTCCTGCCTCAGCTTCCCAGGTATTAAGATTATAGGTATTCATCATCATCTTTTAGCTTTCCATCATTTCTGACCAAACATACGTTGTTTGTGTGTTTTTAAAATCCCAATAGGGGCCTGGGGGATGGCTCGGTGGGTAAAGGCTCTTGCCATGAAAGCCTGGTAACCTGAGTTTGATCCCTGGAACCCACATAAAGGTGGAAAGAGAGAACCAATTCCACACGGTTGTCTGCCACCTCCACACATGCACTGTGGCACACTCCTCCATCGTGCAACACACACACACACACACACACACACACACACACACACACACACACACACACACACTCATTCTAAGTAGAGACTTGAATCTTTCAAAGGTTCTCTTCTCCAGCCAGGCCAACTAGCCATTCTCTTGCTTCAGAGCTTCCCAAGTGCTGCCTGCCATGTCTAGTAGTAATCCAGTAGAACTCCAGTGAACTTCTTTAGAATCTCCTTCTCTTAAATTAGCCTCCTGGCTCTGGTAAATGACGATAGGAACAATAAGCTGACTAATATGTAAGCTTTTAAGCAGAGAATATATGTATTATGGACATTTTTTTGATGCCAGGAACCTCTCCCACCTAGAAAATAACTGCAGTGAAGAGTCTGTTGAATGAAATTATTCTAGAAATCTGAATTGCATTAAAAGCTTGCAATACACCGAGGGAAACTTGGACCATAAACTGCAGTTAACTTGGGTCAATTTCAGATTTTATCAAGGTAATAGTTACTCATCCCACCTTCAGCCCTGTGGCAGTCAACTGTGTAGTAGTTTCTAAAGCAGTTTGCACACAACTTGCAGGAATCAGAGTAGGTCAAACAAACAAACAAACAAACAAACAAACAGTCTCTCAGCTATAGATACAGCTCAGCAGCTAATAAGAGTACCGTGGTTCCGAAGGACCAGAGTTTAGTTCTCAGCACCCACACTGGCAACTCATGACCACCTATAACTCCAGCTACAGTCTCTTCTGGCCTCTGAGGGCACCTGCACACATGTGCACAAATGCTTCCCTCCCCTGTGTGTTACCGCCCCCCTCCCCCCAGTTAAAAATAAAAATAAAATCTTTAGGAAAAAAATATATCTGTTTGGAGACTCTGTGTTCTAATTGCTTTTTGTCCCCATCCCAGGGCTTTATGCATCATCCCAGGACAGCTATGAATGAGGCCGACATACTTGTTGAGGACAACAAATGACACTGTCAATAGGTTGATGATTGTGGTACATGGTACCAGTATGAGTTTGAAATTTCTGAATAATAAATTCTCAGTAAAACCAAGTTGGTATGACTTGTATCAATTCAGACTAGGGAAGGTAATTTTCTCAGATGCCTTGGGAGTATTCATCATTTATCATATTTTCATGAAAAATAGTAACCTGCATACAATGCTGAACAGAAAAAAGACCCAATAACAAAAGCAACAAATTAATTTACATTCTGCTCCAGTTAGTACTATTCATCTAAATTTCACATTTCTTCTGAGTAAATAAATTAATGTGTAATTTCCTCATTCTGCAAGTTCTGCAATAATACAAACATTTCCTTGTTAGAGCTGAGAACTCTGCAAGGTCCTAACCCTTGTGTTTACTAACCAAATCAACTAGCAAGAAATTGCCTACTGATACAAATGGCTTATACCACATCATTCAAAGTGATAGGATGGGACATTTCAGAGACAGGTATATTTTTATTTTGTTTAGTTTAATTTTAGGAGTTCAATCATAAGGTGGTAACTTCAAAGATAATGGTCCCACTGGCTGAAATAATTCTTTTTATTCTGCTGGCTTAAGTCTGAAAAAGAATGACATTAAACTTTATTTTACTATGCTTAGTTTTTCGTTCTGTTCTCATGATATGTAAGAGTGGCCGCCCACTACATCTGCTTGTGTCTCTGTCCATTACCGCAAGCCCCTGTTTTCTGTGACTGAAGTGACTTTCAGAGACACAGAACGGGTATTTTCTCACTCTTCCTCTACTTTTTTCTCTTTTCTACTTTTTTCTTTTTAGGGAACTAAATATTAATGACTAGGACAGGCTAGAGAGATGCCTCAGAGGGGAAAGGTGCTTTGCCTCCAGGTTTGATGACCTGAGGTGGAAGAAAAGAACCAACTCCCTCAAGTTGACTCCAGCTGCCACACAAGTACAATGGTGCATGCACACACACAGTTTTTTAAAAGCACATTTGTACAGTGAGAAGAAGCAGAAAACTGTAAGACAGGAAAACTGATACCGAGTCTGAAGAAGAGAGAGGAAGCGACTAGCAAGTGGAGTGATATAGGTACCAGAGGAGTTGTAGAAGGAAGAGAGAAGAGAGCAACTGAAGAAGAGCTGGAAACAAGACATGACATCCAGTAAGCAAGATGACCCCAAAGCTACCTAATCACATATCATCAAATTGTCAAAAGAGTCTTGGGAGCAGCAAGACATAAGTAGCTTTGTCATGTTACAAGGAGTCCTCAAAGACTTTTCTCATCAGAACTTCTGGAGGTCAAAAGGCAGTGGTCTGAGGACTGAAATTTTTAAAGCTCTAGAGAACTGTCAATCAAGAACCCTGTGTTGAGAAAGTATCCTTCAAAGATGATGGAGAAATGAAGATACTGTGAGGTAAAAGCTGAGGTAGGGCTTAGCAGTATAGTACTTGGCATGCATGAGACCCTGGGTTCAATATCCACCTACATAACCACTCATTTCACAATGCTAGCTGAAGTGAGTGCAGGTTGAAATGAGAGGATACTGGACAGTAACTTGAAGCCATATAGGGAAATAAAGATCTGAATAAAGATAAATATGTAACTACAAACAAAGTCAATTACAAAAGTCATTATTATTCTCACAGCTATTTATATTTTTTTGTTTTCTGAATGATTTAGGAAACTAATACATTTATAAAACATCTAGTTATTAAAGCTGAACATGACTGTTGCACATCTATAATCCCAGTGGGAAGATCAGGAGTTCAAGGACAGTTTGAGCTCTATAATCTCAAAAACAAAACTAAACAATTATAAGCTTGTTTGGGGACATAAAATGAAGATGCAATCTTATGATGTGAACAAAGACAAGGAATGGGGATGGAAACTTAAAGGGGTACAGTGGCGTGCTCCTGGTATGACACTGCTAAACCCCCAATTAGAATGCTGGAACTTCAGGACAGTCTGTGGGCTCCATGTCGATTACCATGAAAACGGGCACACACACCCCCACACACACACCAGTAGGAAAGAAGACAGACACAATAAACAAAGAACAAAATGCTAATTTAAGGCAGGGCCAGCAAGATGGCTCAGCAGGAAAGATGCTTGTCCACCTGACAGCCTGAGTTGGATCGCTGAGACCTATAAGGTGGAAGGAGAGAACTATTTCCCACAAGCTGTCTTTTGGTCTCTGCATCTGCAAAGGCACACTCAGAATCACACACAGATGTAAATAAATAGAATGTTGTAAGGCCATTATAAAAAAAACACCCAAATGATAGAAGTCCCTTCCCTCCCAACCATCTTTAAAAGGAAGGAAATTCTGCAAGACACTAACATGAATGACCCTAAAGACTTTCTGCTAAGTAAAATAGGCCCGCTACAACAGAATAAATACTAGAGATGCTACTACTTAGCCCAAGTGTTTGTAATGACCAAAACCAGACAGAAAATCAATGAATGTTGCTGGGGCTGGGTTTCAGTTTTATATGATGAAGAGAGCCCTAAAAGTGATGGTTGCATGGGAAAATTAACAGAGTTAGTGCCACTGAAAAGGACACTTAAAATGAGTAAGATGGTAAATTTTATGTTAGTTTTATTTTGACACAGTAGAAACAAAATGCATTAGTCTGGGTCAATATGTACTGTGCCCTAAGGCTTGTGGGAGGGAGAAGAAGACATGCTCAAAAGAACTGCTACCACTGATGTCATACAGTAAAGCGGACCTGAAAACACCATTACACTCTATACATAAGGAAAACAAGAATCATTACCTGGCTTCTACTCCAGGCCTGATTGGTGGCTTTCCTGGTGGTGGCCGAGGCAAGAACTGAGGTGAAGCTGAGCTATTAACTTGATCCGCGCTGACCCAGGAAACTGGCCTTGGAATCTTGCTCTTTCTAGACTGGGAGATGATGGGTGTCAGAAAGCCATCTTCAGCTGATCTACTCAGGTGGGAATCTACTGCCAGTCTGGAAAAGGGAGTGAAGACTTCTTCCTCAGAAAAGGGAACAGGAGCAGCAGCTAATTTCTCCTCTATCAGCTTATCAGAGGCACTTGAGAGGTCCCCCAGGAAAGACTTGAACTGCCTTTTTTCTACCAGAAGTTTGACTAGTTCTGGCTGATAGGCTTTCTTCTGTAGAAGCTTTTCTTTTGCAGAGACTGCAGAAGATGATTCAAAAGTTGAATCTATTTCCTGTGCTAAAACAGGGATCCGGCTGTGCCTGGTTACAAAGGATGACCGAAGCATGTCCTTCCGGGTGGGAGGACCATGCTCATTCTCTGAGACACAATGATATAGCTCTCCATTTCTAGGGACAACTTTCTCTCTCTTTCCCTCTTGGTGCAAAAAAGTAGAGAGGTCTCCCTGCTGTCCTGGCAAGTCTTCACTCTTCATGTCTGCATCCTTAAAGAGCTTTGTTTGGGGTACCGCCACCTGGCCAGTCTGCCCTTCAGCAGGTGGGTCAATGACTTGTTGAGAAATTTCTGAAGTTCCAGTTGTCAAAAGCGTCAGTATCTCATGGTTTCTGTCCTGATTTGGCACCACACTAAAATTCTGTGTCTTTGATATATCAAGAGGTTCTGTGGTAGCTGACTGATCTCTTTCTGCAGTTACTAAATCTCCTGGGAAAGAGATTTCAACACAATGCTGCCCTTTACTTAACTTCTCATCTTCATTATCTGAGCCCAGAAGAATGCCTTTTTCCTCTGTTTCTCCAGGAAGATTTTCAAATTCTTTCATAACTAATCTATTATGGTCAGGAAAGTCTTTTGGTCCCAAGTCTTGAGATGTATCCCCATCTCTCATATTGGGTAACAGGTCATGACCAGTGTGATCTACCTGAAGTCCCAAATCCATTCTGCTTCCTCCACTAGGAAGTTCGCCCTCTGTTGCAACCAAGCAGGAGAAGTTTTCTCTGGGAGAATAAAGTTCCACAGTGGGTTCCAAGGGCTGAAGATCTTTCTTCTCTGGTTGTGGACCATAGTGAAAGCTTCCTGAAGTTGACTGTGTTGATGCCGCAGAAGGTCTAGGAATTGTAATCTGGAGAAGTGGGGAGAAAAATGTAAAACATCTAATTATGTGGGGTATCAATCAGCTGCATGGTTTGAGATGCAATACTTCAGATTTCAATTTCTAAGAGTGACAAAGACGTTTACCAGGTCTTCCCAACTCATACTAAATGAGCAATTGTGAACAAAGATGAAGGCCATCCCAGTGGACCTCAAGGAGTTGCACAGAACAAATGATTCCCTAGAGGTTCTTTGTGCTTGCTCCTTTCACATGCTTATGCCCCAGAAGACTGATGTCAAAAGACGGCATGGCCCAGACTCCCTGCAAATGGGTGTCCTATGATAAGTTAAATTCTATTATCCACACACTAAAGTCAGTTTTATGTGAATACAATTTAATATCTTTTTTAAAAGGCCTTTTTGGAGGAATCGGATAAACTCAGATCACTTATTGAAGACTATTAAGTCCTAGGAAAACAAAACAAAACACTTTGTGTCAGGAACATAATTAGGCTTACAGACATGTGAATCCTGCAGACCAATCTAGAGAGAAATCACCTGACCTGACTGATACATGAAGTAACTCCCAAATAGGACAGGCATGGTGGTATATATCTGTAATCCCAGCATTTGGGTGGCTGAGGCTTGAGGAATTTGAGTTCCAGGTCAGCTTGATTTATGCTATAAAATTTTGTTAAAATACATAAAAATAAGGGATGAGAGTTCTGAGGATGCTTCAGGTGAATCCAAGACAAGCTATTAGGGTTCAGAATTGCAGTAATACCAGACCTATTGTGAACTTGAAGAAAGGCACTAAGTTCTCCTTCAGGAGGTCACCTCCTACTTCCTAAATAGTTAAACATCTTTTTAAATTATTCTAAGATACCGAGGTAGATGGCAACTTCCTAATACATGTTTTCATTACATTTATTTCTTGTGTGTGTGTGCATGCATGTTCACTTGCATCATAAAATATACATGGAGACCAGAGGACCATCCACAGGAATAGATGTCAGTAGATCCACAGATGTCAGTTCTGTCCTATTATGTGGGCCTGGGTACCAAATTCAGGTT